CGGGGGCGGGGCCTCTTGCGTCAGCCGCTGCTGCAACAGGCAGGGAGAGGCCGAGCAGGGGGGCCTCCCGTGCTGCCGTGTGTCTCGGGCCCGTCCGTTTCAGGGTCACGGCGAGGGGACTGGCTTTCTGCCCCAAACCCCTCTGTCCTTATAGGTTCTCATGGTTTCACGCTGATGCCTGGAGGGTCGGGGACCATGCAGCCGGGTGGCTGGCAGCGCTGTCGTCCCACGTGGATGTGTGCAGAGCAGCCTGGCAGTCAGGGGACAATTTCCAGGGCACGGCTCGCTGTAAGCATATCCGTAGTCATGGCAACAGTTTCTAGCAGGAGAAAGTACATCTTGTCTTTGAGCTTCTGCTTGACGCCGTTAGGAGCGCGGTGTTTGGGGCTCGGTGTGACCCCCCCACTCCGAGTGCTCAGGGCTCCAGAGCACAGACACGTGCTGCACAGTGTCTCGCAGGGGCAGCTCTTATCCAGGCGTCCCTGGGCCCTGTCCTGGGTGGAACTCGGGGCCTTGTGCACTTGGATGGAGAAAAGATTACGCTTCTGCCGACCTCTGACTGCAGTGTGGTCCTTCCCTCAGAGGCGGGTGGTGACGGATGGCCAGGGTGGGGTCAGCGGTACACCTGTCACCAGGAGACACCGCGAGTCTTCATAACGCACGCTTGCCGCTCTCCTGGGACACTGTACGCTGTCACTGCTTTGATGTGATGGCGGCTGCTCCACCTTCCGCTGGGTCTGGCCACTTAATGCGTCCACGTGTTTCTCCAGCGCCTCGTCCTTGCACCGCCTCCCGCCTGTGCTTCGCAGTGACTCGTCTGCGTGTGCCCGAGTGTTTCTGGGGAGGCTAACCAGGCCCCAGGGGAAACCGAGGCCCAGGCAGAGGTCGGGGACGCCTCCAGGTGTGCAGTCTCATGGGGGGTAGGAGCCTAAGCAGATAAAGTCAGTACCAAGTGCTGAGCGGTGGCTAGAAATGGACCCAGTAGCCACATGGGGTCCAAGGGGAGACTGGGAGCCACACGGGGACCGAGGGGAGACCGGGAGCCACATGGGGACCGAGCGGGGACCGGCTCAGCATCATGGAGGCGTCCGTGGGTTCCTGAGCTGCACTGGACCACAGCATGACGAGGAGAGAGAAGCTGGAGGCCGGAACCCCGGGCCCCTGGAAGTGAGGGGTGCTCTCTCTGCCCGGTCCCAGGGGCCGAAGGTGAACCAGACACTGTGAGGGGGTCGGTGACTCACTTAGTAGAGCGGTGTTTACGGGGACAGGGTGGACAGGGTACGAGTCCTTGAAACACCCAGTGGTATGTATACCAGGATGTCAAGAGGGGCTTCCTGGGTGTGTGCTTCACATGCAGTCTGAGCGTGCGCGCCTGGAAGTGTCACCGTCCTCCGCACACTCTCCTTCTGGCCTGGCTTCCTCACTCGGCAGGCCCCACCCGAGGTCCATCCCAGCCGGCCTTGTCCTGCCGAGCAGCTTTGTGGCAGAACTGTGAGCTTTGAGAGGGGGAAAGATAAACTCTGGCTGTCACAGCGCAGGGCCTTTAAAGGGAGCGAGGCTTCTGGCACGCAGCGCATGGGAACGCGGGTCAAAGGCCGTGAAACGCGACTCTGGACTGCGGGGCCGGAGTGCATCCCGCGATCGCATTGGGGGCCCCAAGCCGGAGCAGCTCGGGGAGCCAGGGTGGGCACTGCAGTCGGGGACCTCCCCTCCGCCGAGACCGCGAAGGCCAGCGACTCCCCCGAGGCCGCCTCGTTCGGCACATCGGGGACAAGCCTTATCTTCCAGGTTGCAGAACTAGGAAATGGCGTGTTTGAGAGAATTAATACCCGAAAAAGGAGTGAGTCGGGGGCAGCCCGAGGACCCTGATCACGGCCTTGCTGGGAGGCTCATGGTTTTAAAGAAAATACAGCCATTTCACTGTCACGTTTGTCTCGTTGGGGTGGTGATGCACCTGGCACTGAAGTTGGAGGCGTTAAGGGTTTGTTTTCTTCTTTCTCTGTAAAACATTCCCCGCTCGACGAGCGCCACCCTCTGTGTGGACACGTCACCTGTTCAATTCGACAGCCCGGTCGATGCCCGCTTTGTGCAAGGTGGCTTTACAGGCGCCAGGGGACGGCGCGCTGGGCAGATCCTGGATGTGACTGCCACGTGGATGGGACAGAAGCTCCACCTGAGGACCACGCAGGGCTTCTTACCCTCCTCGGGGTCAAGGAAGATTCAGAATCTGGTGGCGGTTATGGGTCCACTCTCCCAGGAAAAGGCACCCAGGCGCAGGCACACACGCACGTGCACACGCACTTCTGCAATGATTTCTGAGTGTTTAGAGCCGCCTCTGAAACTGGCCTGGAGGGGGGCCCTCAGAGCGAGTGTTTGGCGCATGAAGTGAAATAGTAGTGCCTGTCAGAGAAGCACGAAGCCCCGGTCCCCAACGGGACAGAGGTTAGGACAGAGCCCAGGGAGGCGGAGGGGCCGGTGGGGCTGGCGGGCTGGGCAGTTTTCCCAGACAGGTGACTACGTAGAGATGTCCACATCTTGCCTAGGTAGGGGCGTTGGCGTCTGGAAGGCCGTCTTCCAGGCCGAGGGAAGGTCTGGGAATGCGGGGGCGGGGGGGGGAGTGGAAAGTAGAAAAACTCAAGCTGTCCCACAAACCCAGTTTGGCTGGAGGAAGACGACATGACGACGAACCATCCGGAACAACCAGACAGACAGGCAGGGGTCACACTGTGAGTGACAGCGAAAGCAGGTGAGTATCCCCTTCCCCCCCACCTCAGTAAAATCTTCTGCTTTATTTATTTCCTTTTTTTATTCATTTATTTATTTTCAGGTGGGGGGTGCAGGCATGAACGTGTGAATAGTACCTATGTATTGTACTGAATTAAGGAAGTGACAAAAATCAGAATTTTCAGGCATCACGCCTTTAGTCTCCTTTGATCCAGAACACCCTCCCTCCCGCCCTGATTTTGGACTTGACTGATGATTGACATTTTTAAGAATCCAGGTCAGCGATTCTGCAGAATGTCCCTGGATTTGTCTTGCCTCTTGGGGTTCCAGTAACGCTCCTTCCTGCCGTCCTTGCAGCCCTGGCACCAGCCCCAGGAAACTGCACTTCTCCCTGGGGCTCCCCACACCCCGTCCGCCTTCACGCACAGTCCCTTTCTTCAGTCCTGCTGGTGTTATCTGGACTTGGGGGTGCCATCTGTTCCCCTGGCGGGTACACTTTGAGTTGACAGAAAATGCTGATTCCTTAGAAATGTCTGCTGTGTTTCACACTCGGCGTGGCCAGTGTACTGCTGTTGATAAATGCTCCTTGACCAGTCACCCCGTTTCACACTCATTATTTTCCAGAAAAATCTGGCTCTTATTCATGTTTTAAATTTCTTTTTGTTTTCCTCCGATCACCCTAAATTCCACAGCTTCTGCTCTTTGCGGAATGCACATCACAGCCGCGATCTACTATGGTTTTTTCTCTTCCTCTGCTTCCTGCCTGGAAGTGAAGCACTGTATTGATCATGAGACAACAGCAGCATTGATTTAGAAGCCCCAGCCCATGTCCAGGTGACCTTTTTTCCTCCCAGTAGCTTCTGGTGACAGAGTGTCCTAAGGTGTTTGCATATGTCACATGATTGCTTGTTTGGTCATTAAATACCATGCCTTTCAAACGCGGAGGAAAGCTGGTCCTAGCTCTTCCCTTGGCCTTCGCCCCGGCCGCCATTCCGGGGGTCAGTGCAGAGAGGGGTCGCAACTTTTGAAACTTAGGCTGAAAGTCCTCTTATAGCCAGCCTTTCCTGCAGAAGCTTCCAGACACGCCACCGCTCAGGTTTTGTTAAGTCCCAGATACACACAGGCAATTGTGAAGCCATGTCATTGACACGGAGACCTGAGACATTTTGTGTTTATCATTTTCCGGTGAAAGCCTTGTCGTAAGGCCATCCCTAAGGGTATGGCGAGGGCTTCAATTGGACGTGACAGTCCGCAAATCTGACTGCTCCGATTTGCATGTGACATTGAACCTGCAGCGTGAAACAGCCTCCTGCACGTCCTTTGCAGAGCCCATGCTGTGAGCTCTTCAGATTAATCGTAATAACAATGGAATGCAGGGGGCGCCAGTGGGGCAGGTGGCTGGTGGGTTAGTCGTGCCAAGGTAAGGACTGGGCACTGCAGGCAGAGGGAATGGTGAGGATGATTTGGGGAAAACGGAATAAATTCAGAACACCTATGGGTCACCGACCGTGTGCCAGACTCCGCTGACTGGCGCTGCCTCAGGCGGCTACTTCTCGTTCACAGCCTTCCTGAGCACCATCCTCATTCCCGTCTTTGAAACCGAGGCCCTGAGGAGGTAAGGTCCAAATCCTAGAACGTCAGCTAATTCTCCAGCGGCTCCACAGAGCACAGGACTGGGGACTTCAGGCATGCCATCCATCATCATGTCCATGCCCTCTGGGCCAGGCACCCAGCCTGGAACTACCTTGGTTAGCATCTGCTTCTCCTGCCCAGATCATGTCCCCAGACCATGTCCTTGAGGGACTTTGCCTGTTCCTCGTCCCTGCATGTCCTCGGCATCTCGTCCTGGCAAACAATAGGTCCTGACAAATAGTCTGTCCCCTTCCTACTTCCTCGTCTATGTGTCTGTTAGGTCTCCTCGGAGCACGGGTGGCAGACTGGCTCAAGGGTCAAATCCGGCTGCCACTTGTTTTTATGCAGCCTGGGAACTAAAAGTGATGTTTACACTTTTAAGTGGTTGAAAAACATTAAAGGAAGAATTTGTGACATGGGCACATTGCACAAACTTCAGATTGCTGTGCGGAATGGAGAGCTTCATTTACATGTTTCACATTTACATATCTGTCGGTTACATCTTATCTGTGCTGTTTTTAAACTAGGCTGCTGCCTCGAATAGTTCCAGTGGATTCCCCCTGGGCCGCAGAGCCTAATGTTTATTCTCCAGCTCTGCAGAAGGACCTTCGCCCACCCCTATCAGAAAGGATAAGCAGAACTTGCTCTGTTAAGGTGGCACGTGACTTTGAAGCTGCCCAGCGTCCCAGGGGGGCTGGAGCCCAAGGCTGTGGCGTGATCTGTGGGAGGCGTGTGGGCCGGCTGTCACAGACAGTTTTACCTGTGCCTTCGAGCAGAATCTTTGCACTTTTTCAGTTTGGGGCTCGCCTGTCACCTCGTTGGCCTCAGAAGCTCTGAGCCCTGCGTTTGCAAATCCATCAAAAACATCCGCAGCCGCCCAGAACTCTTCCACCAGGGTCTGCATTTCCTTCTCCCGGTCCGGTCCGGCTGTTACAGCTGCATCAGCCGAGGAGGAGGGTCAGAGGACTGAGAAGTAACAGCCTCAGCACGAGGAAGTGCCCGGAGCAGGGCTCTCCGTGCTTTTACAGGCATTGTCCTTTCTTATCTTTTGGTTAAAATCTCTTCTTGAAAAGGTAGGGACTTTTTATTGTTCTCCTGTTTCTCCGAAGCTCTGAGGGGAGCCATCTGCCCAAGGCCGCATTGCCCTGGAGTCAAACAGCCTGGGTCCTGAGCAGGCGTCTGATCCTGAGCTCCAGGTCTTCCCCTGGATGGTGACAGGCCAGGCATTCCAGCAGTTCTGTGACAGGAAAGCCCTGGGTAGAAAACGTGGGTGCTTTTTTTTCTTCTTGGTCATGACGTTTTTGGTAATTCCCTTGGGTATATGCCAAAGAGCAAATTGACGGTGACTGTCAGACCCTGTGTCCCTCATTTCAGAATGACCATTTTCTGCATTGACGGTGACTGTCAGACCCTGTGTCCCTCACTTCAGAATGACCATTTTCTACCAAGGGCCTCGAGAGACCTGAGTGGCCGGAAGCGAGATGAAGGATGGGAAGAACCGCACGAGCTTCCTGCCGGCGAGGGGATGTCATTACTGTGCCGGATGAAAACACCCCGACAACCCAGACTGTCTGACTCGAACTGTGATTGTCCAGCGTGTCAGGAGCTGTAAGTTTAGCAGAAGTGACCAGACCAGCAGTGCCCAGGTGTCTGTGGAATGTTAGTCCTGTGACCAGACAGAAGGAGTGTTGGAATAAGTATGGGGAGTGTTGACAAAGTGAAGCACACTTCTGCAGCCCTCCAGGAGCAGGCGGTGTACAGAGTAGTGACAGACGTGGGCCAGGGGCCAAGGGCCACCTCATGGGACGGGTGTGCCGGGAGCTCTGGATGAGGCTGCCCGCGGCCCTGCCTTTTCTCTCTGCTTTTCAGTTTACGAAGTCCCAAACACTTCAGGGACTAGAGGGATGTTTGTGTCTTCTGTCGACCCACTGCCACTTCCCCCCCGCCAGGGAAGGAATGTTCTAGACAGTGGGAAAACTATTAGGAGAGGGTGTTGAATTAACCATACAAAGTTAGATAGGGTTTTTTTTTCTGAGAGCCTTTCAGTGACGTCTCCGTGAAAATCAGAGTATATTGGGATCACATAAGCCTTTCTCAAGGGTTGATGTTTTCTATACTTTTAGTTTGTCCAAACTTCTATGTGTTGCTCAAGCATCGAGTGAGACCCCAGAATATACAGCGTGCTTCGCTCCGGATGGCACTTGCAGGACACACACGTGACGGAGATGTGAGGACAGCAGCTTGTGGGCTCCCATGAAGTCAGCCCGGGAATGTGTGGAATTCGCTTGTAGTTTTCAGGAAATAAGGTGTCATTGTTAGGGTAGTTTCCTGTCATAAAAATTTCTCTAATTTGGTTTTAAAATAGCAGCCTCTGATGTTGTTTTTGACTCAGCAATCTATAGGAAATCTAAAATCTTTTTCTTTCTTTCTTTCTTTCTTTTTCTTTTTTTTTTTTTTTTGGTGAAAGAATGTTGCATATTTTCCACAGACAAGAAATGAGCCGTTTCTATTCCTGGCGGTGCATAACGTGACGATGTGTGTCCTCACCCCGTGCTCACGTGGAAGTGGCCTGGTAGAAGCAGAGGGACCGCTGACCTGGGCGAAAGGTCCCTCCTTCCTCCTCGGGCGTTTCCCCAGCCCCCCGTCCTGAGAGCTGGTCACCCCAGTGAGCTTACAGTTACAATCTGAGGCCATCAGACTTTTTTTTTTTTTTACCTGAAGCTTCTTCAACTTGTACCTCGTTACAAGCTTAAAAACAGAGCTAAACTTAAAAACAGCCTAATGTTTCTGGGTAGATCAAACAGTGACTTGCTTTTATAAGTGAAAAATAATTTGTTCTTAGTTCCTTTACGTAAAGTATCAGGAAAATAGATACTTTGCAGAAGTCTTTTCAGATTCAAGGAGGTAAGTGTTGAAGCTTCAAAACCCAATCTGAGAATTCTTATAAAAAAATAAAAA